TAAAAAGTTTTTTTTTTTATAATTAAAAAAAAAAAACTTCTCATATGGATATAACTCTATAATCTATAATCTATAATAGTTATTTGCTTGAATTTATGCTTGAAGCAATATAACCCTTGCAATGTCTTTGTTTCTATTTATAAGTTTTATTTTGTGAAAAATGATAGTTTAGAAAAATAATATTTTATAATAGTTACATCAGCTTTATATAGTTAACAGATTATGCGACATCAAAAAAGTAAAAACAGAAATTTCCTTATAATTAAGAAAACATTTTGATTAAAAAAGTTATTTAAATTTTAAAAAAATTAGTTTTCCTTTTTATCAATTTTTTTGCTATATAACCAATTTCTTTAACCTGAAACAGAAGTTGCAACAATTGTTGTTGCAACTTCTTCTGTTTCAGGTTAATTCAGATATGAGTTCAAGCTTTATGTTAGTAATTCATTATTAATTGGGTTATCATATTTGTTCTTTAAATCTTCCTCCCAAAAATTTACATTCTTAAGTCCGCCATGCTAAAATAATTTCTTAATGTTGAAATCTAAGCAATGTATCTAAGAAATCTAAGAAATGTAACCGAGAGGTTCGGAGTTCGACTCCCACCATGTCCCTGGAAGTACCGCGCTCAACTTAATTTCTCCGCACAGCGGCCTTGCTTGTCAAGGTTCGTGTTTCAGAGTTAAAGAGTTGAGAGAGGGTTGTACCACGATTTACAAAAAAAAAAAAAAAAAAAAAAAACTTTAGTGGCCCCCTTGGGCCTTGGGGAGGTAAATAACTAAAAAAAAAAAAAAAAAAAAATCTCCCACCACTCATCTGTCAATATTGAGAAAATCTACGCTCTATTGGGTCATTTCGAAAAAAAAAAAAAAGTAAGCATACACAAATATCCTTCTTCGATAAGCTCATCTTTAAGCATTGCTTGAAAACACAGAGTTGTAATAAGAGTAGATGATGCTTGTTTTGATTAAATAATTGAGACTTATGCCAAAATTCAATTCAATTAGCTAGTTGCCTAAAAAGGTAGTTTTACCATCATTAAATATAATTGAATTATTAAGTTATTTGGACTAAATTGTTGTTTTGAATTTGAAACAGTTTTTTTTAATGTTTTTGAAAAATGCTTAAAAACCAGAATTGTCATTCCACTCTGGAAAATAACTTTTAAAACTTGCAATTGTTGTTTCATCAAAATCGGCAATGCAAGTGAAACATAAATAAACATATTTGATTGATTTACAAATTTGGAATGAAGCAAACTAAATGCATTTACATTCTCTTGATGATTGTCAGTAACAACTTGAATTTTAAAACCAAATAGAGAAAGAACTAATAAAAATAGAAAGCCATTTTCTACTTATAGTAACTTCAGGTATGGCTTTTATGATATAAGGAATAGATTTCTTTAAACTAACAATCATAAATACAACAACTCCTTTGTAAAGAGTGCCGATGTCATCTGCACCCACATAGACACCACTACAATATTGTGTTTATTTCTAAAGATAAAATTTATTTACAGTTAGTATTAAATATTCATGAATCGAACCTTTCTCAAAAAGCATTTTAACAGCCTTTATTGCATTGACTCCACTTTGTTTTAATTTATTTAATAAAGAAATTAAAGGTAATTGAAAAGATTTAAGTAAAATTGTATATGCTTGCTCCTTTATATAAATATCTTAATAGTAAAGCATGTTTAACCATATCTTCAGAATATTGTGGTTGCTTTTTATATTCTACTATTAATTTCATCAAGTATATTTTTATTAGAAGGCTTTTATGTATAATGCAAGATATTCTAGCATACACAAATAGTTTATAAAATAGTAAACAGTCATTATGATCTTTAGTTAAACATGGAGGAAGTGGAATATTATTTCCTTTACATTGCAAAGCAATACACATAAACAATGATCAATAAAACAAATAAACAATTAATTTTTATTGATTCAAGAACCCATGGCAAAATATGTTAGCGAATCAAAATTGAGATGTTTTTTAAATTGAAAACCTTCTGATGTTTACTGTTTAACTTGTTCTAAAAAGTAAAGGCCTTCTTGATAAGTACGAGTTTTAGGTGGTCTAGGTGATAGTTATAGGTAATGGTAGTATGCATTTTAAGGATTCACTTGAGAAAATTTCAGGAATAGGATTGAAACTCCAATTTAATTTACATCTTATACCTCAAATAATGTAATTTTAATTAAAATGCTTTTCACATTAACTACTTTGAGTAAAATACTTTGCTTACTTAACTTTTGTAAACATAATTTAGATATAGATTAAAATGAAAAATATTGCACCAAGAAGTAAAAAATAAATAAATCATAAACTAGTAAACAAATAAATTAAAATTAATAAACTTCTTTAGAAATCTCCCAGTAATAGACGAATTTTATCATACAAAATTTACTCAGGGTTGTTTTTGTACTTAGTAAAGTCAACAATTAATTATATTTCAGAAATTTTCATTAAATAAGATTGACTGCTCAGTACTCGTAGAAGCAGTTTTTTTTTTTTTATTTTACTTCACCTCCTCAAGGCCGAGAAGGCCACTACAGACGAGGAGGCTACTTATTTTGTGGCTATAACCCTCTCTCAACTCTATAACTCCGAAACACGAACCTTGACGAACAAGGCCGCTGCACGGAGAAACGAGTTGAGCGCGGTACTACCAGGGACGTGGTGGGGATCGAACTTGGAACCACTCGTTTATGAAGCGAGCGCTCTACCACTACACCACTACCGCATCAAAAGTTCATATATACGCATCAAAAAACTTAAATGATTGTATCATTCTTGCAAATAGTTTAGAAAAATTTAGCTATACTTCTTGAACAGAAAAAAAGAAAGTATTATGGGATTGAAAAAAAGATATAATAATGGAATAACTGATGTATTACATTTTTAACCTGGTTTGTGCAATATATAAAACAACTACAAATACCATTGAACTTAAGCGTCAGCGTGGCACTCATTGCAATCAGAAATACTGTTGATTTGAAAAATTCCTTGTGGTAATATATTTAAATATCCAAACCATTGTGAAATAAAGATTTAGGTAATTTAAAATTTTTTGGGAAATGTGTCTCATTGTTAAAAAATTTTAAAATATAAAATACAGTTGGAACCAATCACAAAAACAACTAAGACAGAGTGGGTTAGCAAAAAAAAAAAACTGTAAGCTTTATATTAGGCGCCCAAGAGATATTACATCTTAGCTTGTTTGAAAATACAAGGCAGCCCATTTAGCTGCGAATCAGATGTCAATAAATATATTGAAAAACAGAAAGATATGCTAAATGTTAAAAAACGATAGATGAATGGGATGTTTATTTTAGTAATAATCAAAAAATAGTAAGTCATTGAAGCGAAAATCAACTTTATTTAAAATCATAATTATTGATAAAAATACAAAAAAAAAGTTGTCATATTTCTACAGAAGAATAAGCTAATAATTCAAAGTTTCTACTTAACTTGGAAAATCCAAGCAACAATCCACAATCAGCTACGAAGACTTTTTTTTTAGTTATTAAGGTGCTCCAAAAAAAAAAAAAAAAAAAAAATCACAAAGCACCGTGGAAGAGCAATTTTACTAGGAAGTTTACTTATCCTTCTTTACAAATGTTGCTTATCTAGTCAGAGCCAACATCAAACCTCAGACCTCTTGATTCTGAGAAAGAACTAAAATCACTGCACCATGGTTGCAATGAAGTTATTTTGCATTTTCACTAGTAATTGTTAAAATTATTTCTTATATGGAGTAATTTCAGTAATTTTATGTATAATGCCTAATTTTTTGTTGCATTTATAACTGCACACAATAATTATGTATTTTCTTTTGTTTTGTTTTTTAAACGAAAAGAAAAATATCAATAGCTGATTCTACTTTGATAATAATGATTTAATTTAATTTAACAATTGATGGTTTTTTTGAAATAATCACTTTTATTGAAGTTGAAATAGAAGGCCAAATATTTATAAAAAAAAGATTAAGTAATTTAAAATCAGCATAAAAAATTAATTAAGAAAAAGCGATTAAACTACAAAAAATCCAAAAAAAGGTTATTTTGTACTCTCCTTATGGATATGTGATATAAAAATAATAATGAATGCATAGTTCATAGGTGAGCCAAATGTTCAGGTTTTGACAGCCTAAAGGCATTTTTAAATAGGGAAGTGAGATTAATAAAAAAAAAAAAAAAAAAAATCAATTTATTTAATAGGAATGTAATGATAGATTACAGTTAATTACTCAAACAGTTACTTAATTAGAATATAAAGTAAGCTAAATTTTATTAATCTCCACTAAATATTCTTTATTGTACTGGACAACTTTCTTTTGAAATTCATACATAAAACATGTATTGTGGTCATTGTCATCGCTTAAAAACAGAATGATTTATGCTAAATATTTGATTTAGAAATTTCTCTGAATTATATAATAACTGAAATCTAAAAAACTATATAAAAACTGAAATCTAGTTGATAAATCTGAAAAGATTTTTAGATTTATCAACTTACTTCACATTCATATATTGCAAAATGCCCAACTTGCTATTTTAAAGAACTTAAAAATAGGTTGTTACAATGAATGTATTATACTGGCAGATTTTACAGAGAACAAACAGTTTTTAATACAGGATGTAATACAAAAAACTAAAATGTACATAACATTCAGTTATTATATAATTCAGAGAAATTTTTAATACTATATATATATATATATATATATACATATATATATATATATATATACATATATATATATATATATATATATATATATATATATATATATATATATATATATATATATATATATATATATATATATATATATATATATATATATATATATATATATATATATATATATATATATATATGTATATATATATATATATATATATATATATATATATATATATATATATATATATATATTTCTTATACTATATTTATATATATTAGCTATACAAAATTTAAGTAGGTACCTGTCCAGAGTAGAGATGGCAAAACCCACGAATAAACTTTTCTTTGTATAGCTTTGAAGCTTCTTGTTCCATTCTCCGAATAACAGCCATTTTTCTATAGTAATCCATAGCTTGATCACGAGTTACCAATCCACTAGAGGGAATTTCATGACCATCTAGTTTGTGGTATTTGTAAGGCTATATACATAATCAAAAAACTTAGCAATATAATAAAAAAAATTCTGCAAAATGACTGAGTTATAACTATGATAGCGAAATAAAATTGTCAAATATCAAACAATAATTTAAAAGTTATACCTGGCACTGTACACATGAACCATATAGCATAAAATAAAAAACATCAAAAGTTTTACTTAAAAATTACCAAAATACTTTATTGAAGTATAATAACAATAAATTTGATATTTATGCTTCATTAAACTGCTTACTAAGTACTTCATATAGTTTTGTTAACAAAGTGAATAGAACTCACCAAAAACTCTGCACTCTGTGAACTGACAGTGGCCATTTTACACAGCTGAAAAGACATAGGAGGAAATATCTATAAAAGAAAAAACAATCATTAACTATTACTTATTATTTACAACAGAGTTTTTAAAAAAGTAAAAGCAAGTCTTAACCTTTCCAACTGATCTTTTAACAAGCAATGAAAGTCCAGTGGATCTGATAGTTAAAGTGGCTGCCATCATTTTACTTAAGATCTTAGTATTGAAATAAAATTATTTAAAAATTTTAGAATATCATGTATATCTAACTCAATATTAACTTGACCTAATAATCATGTGAACATAAATCATAAAAAAAATATTAACTTGACCTAATAATCATGTGAACATAAATCATAAAAAAAATATTAACTTGACCTAATAATCATGTGAACATAAATCATAAAAAAAATATTAACTTGACCTAATAATCATGTGAACAAAAATCATAAAAAAAATATTAACTTGACCTAATAATCATGTGAACATAAATCATAAAAAAAATATTAACTTGACCTAATAATCATGTGAACATAAATCATAAAAAAAATATTAACTTGACCTAATAATCATGTGAACATAAATCATAAAAAAAATATTAACTTGACCTAATAATCATGTGAACATAAATCATAAAAAAAATATTAACTTGACCTAATAATCATGTGAACATAAATCATAAAAAAAATATTAACTTGACCTAATAATCATGTGAACATAAATCATTAAAAAAATATTAACTTGACCTAATAATCATGTGAACATAAATCATAAAAAAAATATTAACTTGACCTAATAATCATGTGAACATAAATCATAAAAAAAATATTAACTTGACCTAATAATCATGTGAACATAAATCATAAAAAAAATATTAACTTGACCTAATAATCATGTGAACATAAATCATAAAAAAAATATTAACTTGACCTAATAATCATGTGAACATAAATCATAAAAAAAATATTAACTTGACCTAATAATCATGTGAACATAAATCATTAAAAAAATATTAACTTGACCTAATAATCATGTGAACATAAATCATAAAAAAAATATTAACTTGACCTAATAATCATGTGAACATAAATCATAAAAAAAATATTAACTTGACCTAATAATCATGTGAACATAAATCATAAAAAAAATATTAACTTGACCTAATAATCATGTGAACATAAATCATAAAAAAAATATTAACTTGACCTAATAATCATGTGAACATAAATCATAAAAAAAATATTAACTTGACCTAATAATCATGTGAACATAAATCATAAAAAAAATATTAACTTGACCTAATAATCATGTGAACATAAATCATAAAAAAAATATTAACTTGACCTAATAATCATGTGAACATAAATCATTAAAAAAATATTAACTTGACCTAATAATCATGTGAACATAAATCATTAAAAAAATATTAACTTGACCTAATAATCATGTGAACATAAATCATAAAAAAAATATTAACTTGACCTAATAATCATGTGAACATAAATCATAAAAAAAATATTAACTTGACCTAATAAGCATGTGAACATAAATCATAAAAAAAATATTAACTTGACCTAATAACCATGTGAACATAAATCATAAAAAAAATATTAACTTGACCTAATAATCATGTGAACATAAATCATAAAAAAAATATTAACTTGACCTAATAATCATGTGAACATAAATCATAAAAAAAATATTAACTTGACCTAATAATCATGTGAACATAAATCATAAAAAAAATATTAACTTGACCTAATAATCATGTGAACATAAATCATTAAAAAAATATTAACTTGACCTAATAATCATGTGAACATAAATCATAAAAAAAATATTAACTTGACCTAATAATCATGTGAACATAAATCATAAAAAAAATATTAACTTGACCTAATAATCATGTGAACATAAATCATAAAAAAAATATTAACTTGACCTAATAATCATGTGAACATAAATCATAAAAAAAATATTAACTTGACCTAATAATCATGTGAACATAAATCATAAAAAAAATATTAACTTGACCTAATAATCATGTGAACATAAATCATAAAAAAAATATTAACTTGACCTAATAATCATGTGAACATAAATCATAAAAAAAATATTAACTTGACCTAATAATCATGTGAACATAAATCATTAAAAAAATATTAACTTGACCTAATAATCATGTGAACATAAATCATTAAAAAAATATTAACTTGACCTAATAATCATGTGAACATAAATCATAAAAAAAATATTAACTTGACCTAATAATCATGTGAACATAAATCATAAAAAAAATATTAACTTGACCTAATAAGCATGTGAACATAAATCATAAAAAAAATATTAACTTGACCTAATAACCATGTGAACATAAATCATAAAAAAAATATTAACTTGACCTAATAATCATGTGAACATAAATCATAAAAAAAATATTAACTTGACCTAATAATCATGTGAACATAAATCATAAAAAAAATATTAACTTGACCTAATAATCATGTGAACATAAATCATAAAAAAAATATTAACTTGACCTAATAATCATGTGAACATAAATCATAAAAAAAATATTAACTTGACCTAATAATCATGTGAACATAAATCATAAAAAAAATATTAACATGACCTAATAATCATGTGAACATAAATCATAAAAAAAATGAAAGCTAATAACATAAAATAACTAAAGAAATAAAGAACATTAATAACAAAAAAAATTTAATAAAAAAAAAAAAAAAAACAATAAAATCCTGTTTCAAAAAATTCTAACTAGTTAAAGACAAAACAAAAATATATTGTATATTGATGGCAAAATGCGCAGTTGTATAAATTAAGTATATAATAACTCGAAATGTTTTTTATAGTCCCTTGAAAGTCCCTTGTTGAACATTTGTTTGGTCCAACTATTTTAATTGGTTAATTTTTTTTTTTTTTCAAAACACCGCGATTGAAGTTTTTCCCATTCTACTACTAGGGTACTATGTAAAAATATTTTTTTTTTACATAGAAAATATCTTTTTTATATGGAAAATCCACCCCAGATATAACAACAGTATTCCATAAAAAGACGGATTAGAGATTTATAGAGATAAAGTATAGAATCCGGAGTAAGAAAGTGGCGAGCACAATAAAGAGATGCAACCTTAGCAGATACTAATTTTGCAATGGATTTGATATATGGTTTCCGAAAAAGATCAGAGGTAAGAGTTAATCCTAGAAGATGAAGGGTGGATGCCTCATCATTATCATTCATAAATATAGGAAGATCTATTATTGCAATAACGATTAGCTAAAAAAAATTGAGTTTTATCTGAATTAAAGTTCACCAGCCACTGAAAGGCCTATTCTGTAGCAGTGAGATCCTTTTCATGCTGAAATGGCCCCTCTAAGCAACCAGAGAGTGTTGGCTTCTTATAAAGACAAGAATAAATGGTAGTATCATCAACTAACAATGCCACCTTAGATGTGAGAATATCTAGAAGATCATTAAAATAAATTAAAAAGAATATTGGGCCAAGGATAGAACCTTGAGAAAAAACAAAAAGTGACAGGATATGAAGAAGAATGCTATCCATCAAGGAAATCAACTTTAATACTACGATTGGTAAGAAAGGATTCAATAATCTTAAAGATGTTACCTGATATACAGTCAGAAGGAAGCTTAGGGAAAAGACTAGCATGCCAAACTTTATCAAAAGTTTTAGAAATGTCAAAAGCAATAAATATCCTTCACCTCTCCACATCTATCTAATGCATGATAAAATGCATGCATGATAGCGGTCGGCTATTACTGTTAGCAAATCAGCCGTCTGAGAATAGCAGGTTTTGGCATTAGACAAATTTTTTTTACAATAATTTCTAGAAATAGTAAACAGACATCTGTTTTCTGGAGAACTGCTTTGCTGATAGATATAGAAACAATGGTTTCGATTGGCAATTGCAAAACAATTGAATTGAAGAAGTTACATAAGAAGCTTATTTGTGAGCAGGAAGACAAAAGATTTCTACTCAAGGGCCATCACAAAAAAAATCATGAAAGGAGTCCCGCTAGCTTTAAGGTAGTTGTGAGAGGTGCAACAATATGCGGATTCTGTTGATGAAAAAGAATAAGATAATAGTTTAGAGAGATCAAACTGTAATCTAAAGCACTGACTAGGTTCAGAAACAAGACATAAGTCGAGTGGAGAAGGTAAATGATTTGGGTTGTCTGGAAAGCGAGTTGGAAAATTGACTACTTGAGTTATAGATTTAGAAAGGCAAAAGTTGTCAGCCTTAATGCCTGCAGAGTCACTGACACTAGAGCCAAACCATTCAGTGTGATAAGCATTAAAGCCACCAACAACAACAATACTGGCTGAAGAATAAAGAGAAAGGGCTTGGTCAATTTGAGCAGAAATAATATTAAAAAGTACAGTCTTGAGATAAAGGAGTGCGATATAAAACATGTGACTATTGGAATCATTATGAATTAAAGGAAGATAACCATTAACACTAAGATTACAAGATGAGTCAGCCGAACTTGAATTATTCTTACAAAGAGCAAGTAGGTCTAGTAAACTTTGCAAGAGATAAGAATCAACAGAAGAAAAGTTACTTTGAAGATCAGGAGTATTAGTGAATGATAGATTTAGAAAACTTGGTGAAGACGCTGGTTTTATGAGTTTTATGGTTTTATAGTTTTTGGTACTTTAGTCATTTCTAAATTTGTTAAAGAACTTGACTCAAAGCACAGATAGGACTCAGAGCACTATTTAATAGCACTAGCAATTGCCTCATTACTATTAATAAACCTTAAGCAGTAACAAAGGGCTCCAAATGCCGCCTCAACAACGCACACTAAAAGTACAATCAGGGACATCATCCATGAGCAACATGGCACTATATATATATATATATATATATATATATATATATATATATATATATATATATATATATATATATATATATATATATATATATATATATATATATATATATATATATATATATATATATATATATATATATATATATATATATAGAAGAGAGAGAAATATAATTAAAGTTGCTTTTTATCAACGCTATATGATTTGCAAATAATGATTTATAAATATGTTTGTCATAATAGCATTAATAATTTGCATACAAAAATATTTTACAAAAATTAAGAATAAAACAGTTATATTTATGTCACATTCTATAAAACCTTTACTTATATAACATATTTACATAAACTATGTATATCCATACAAATAAAGTATGAATATTTAATTTATTTACATATATTTTTTGTCAATGTTATAATTTTATACAAATGTTAGAAAAATCCTCTAAATGTCGCAATCAAGGAAAATAGAAAAAAATTAATGCGTTGAAACATGAATCAAGGACACAGAAATTCAAGGGCAGTAAACAGGTGGAAACACTGGTGGAAATTCTTCTATTTCATTATCATCATGAATTAACTGAAGTTGTAATTCATTGTCATTAGACTGGACAGGAAATACAATTTTCTCACATGTTATTTTAAGAAGGTTTAGAATACAACCAATAAAAGCTGCAATACCAGCAGCAGCTATAAGATAAAATCCAATATCAAGAAAACAGGTTACTTTAGTCACTTTTAGATTATTCGCATCAACTGAAATCCAATAACATATGCACATTATACTGATGGAAAGTAAAACTAAAAATATATATATATATATATAACAGTTATAACATTTATAAATTGCTTATTTATATACTATATATATATATATATATATATATATATATATATATATATATATATATATATATATATATATATATATATATATATATATATATATTGTAAATTATAAATTAAAAATACATGCATAATATTCATTACAGTGTGCAAATTTCCCCCCAACTATGCAGAAAAAATATATCAAGATACAAACTAGAATAAGTAAACATTAAATGATTATAAAGCTGTCACAATTATTGGTGTGATTATAAAGCTATATATCACTCATATTTTTCATTATAACAATTCGATAAGCTTTTTTTAACCTCCAGCATCAATTATTTGTTTCAAAATGCAAGAATAAAACTAGAAGGGTACACTCATAAATTAAACTCACATATTGAGTAACTGGAACTCAAACATCTTTTTACATCTATCTGCTAAAGTACTTCAAACTTTTTATATTTTTTTGAAACATAATACAACAATACCTTAATATAAGATGTAGAGAATTAAACACTTGCAAAGGCTACTGAAAATCAAAGTGAATATCTAATGTTGTCTGACAACATTTGGCTTTAAATATAGTTATTTTTAAAATTTATAGTGTCCGTAACACCTTTAAGCGGATATTCATTTGAAAAAAAGGCAGATCTTAAATTAATGCAAAAAAATAGCAAAAATTTTTTTACTTGAATTTCCTCCTTCACTGTTTGCCACTTCTCGGCAAGGGAAATTTTGTTAGTACAAATTAGTTTTTAACGCCTAAAGGGCTTAAATTAATGCAAAATAATCTAATTCTAAAAATTAAAAAAAAAAATTTAACCTCTCTCTCCTCCACTCCTTTCTACTGTTATGTGGTAAGGTAAGTTGCATTAATACAAAACTGTATCCAGGCCTCAGTGGGAATGGTGAGCTATCAATAGCTCTGCCTGATCACAGTTATAAATTTTTGTTGTTTGCTTGCACAAGTTGCCCACAGTTTCTTAGATACTTTAAATACATGCTAAAAGAATTAAAGCCATGGGCAAGTTGTCACAACAAAGTCTTATACCCATGGTCAGGTAGAGCGATTGATAGCTCGCTTTTCCTGCCGAGACCTGTGTATCTATTGTACATTTGTTTGTAATTACTATTTTTTTAACATATCTTTCATATTAAAATAATCTCATAAAATTCTTGTTTCGTTGAGTTTAAAATAGCTTAAGTTATTGTTATAATTTAAAGCCTAAGTTGCAGTTTGTAATGCGCAAGTATTTAATACTAATACAATATTACTTTAATTAATTAAAATCTTAAAATCTTTGAACATTCTCATTTGATTTGACTTTTCAATCTTTAATTTTTGTTTGTTCATTTAATAACAAAAGCATGTGCTATTATAACTATTACCCAGTTTTTTGTTTACTCTCTTAAAGTTTTATCTAATTCATCGCATTATATATCTTAGCATTATTTATAGCTAATTAAACTTTTTGTTATGTATTTATTACTTTTTTTCTTCTTTAGTTTACTCGATGCTTATGATTTTCATAAATACTTTCATACAGGGCTGTTCCAAGCCTGGGGACCTGGGGACCTGGGGCAAAATTAAGTATTAAAGCTCCAAAATCTAAATGTCATCTATACATTCACTTTGTAAATATGATTGTATGAACTTTCAGATATTTAACAAGTATTTAAAGTGGTCTCTAAATCATAGGAGTCTTGGAATAAATTATCCAGTTGTTGGAGCAGCCCTTCTCTCTTGTTTTTCTCCATTATTATTGAAATGATATGTTAAAAAATAGAAAAGGAATATAAATTACTTTATTATTTTTATTACAATTTATTTCAAAAAAATTTAATTATTCCCATACTTCAACTAAATCTTTTTTTTAAAAGCAATTTAGTTGACTTTTTACCGACTTGGTCGCTTTTTACCCACTTAGTCGCTTTTAAAAATGAATTAGTTGATTTTAGTCGACTTTAGAAAATATATTATTCGATTAAGTCATCAGTCAAATTATTTAAAAGTTGTAACAACACTATGTTTTATACAGTTTATATCATTAAAGGGATCCTTAAGTGCTCCTAACATATGATCTCATATGGAAGAGCATTAAAAAAAAATGTAAGTTTTTTTTCTTTTTCACTAAATTGTAATAATAAATGCATGCTAACAAAAAGCAATTGCCGAAATCACTAAAAAACAACTCCATTTTGATTTTATTTTTTTACCAGTGAAACTCCATTGTTAGTTGTTAAAAATCACGTAAGTACGTCACAACAACTTTAGAATATCTACTTCGATTTTCAAGTAAAAAAAAGTTGTGATTAAATAGTTAAGTTTCAATCAAGTTTATTTCATTAGTTTTGCAAAAACATTATAATAGAATTCGGTTGAAAGACGTCGTTTAAAAAAAAGTTATTAAGTAATAGTTTTAAATAGTTTGAACTTATAAAAAAGTTTTACAGGGCTCGTATAAAGCGTATCGCAATTGCTTTTAACACTTTCGCGATTAGTTTTTTCTTAAAAAAAGTCTTTTCGTGATTCGTTTTTTTTTTTTTTGGTTGTTTAATTACTTTTTTTCTAGCTTAGCATTTTTAGTAGAAATTCTTAAAAGTAATGTTTTTATCATAAAGAACGTCACACAAAACTTATTATTCTGAATAGATTGATTTGCTCTTTCGCTCAGAGATTTTCTTTCAACGTAAAACATTTTTGAATTTAAATTACTTTAAATCTCTGCCTGGAAAATTTTTAAAAGGTCGTTAAAGCAAAAAGTTGAAAAGGGAAAATACGTTAATTCAAATTTTTTCTTCATTCTAACAAAACAGCCTGGTTTTTATCTTTGTTTATCAAAACTTCATGTTTAAAATAAGGCTTAAAAACGCTAGAGCAAAAAAATTGCCAACTTTTATTTGGATTTTTATACTGTTTGAAAAAAAAACTAATAAAAAAGAATTAATTATTATTATTATTAATTCTAATAATTATTAATTAATTCTTTTTTATTAGTTTTTTTTTCAAACAGTATAAAAATGCTAATAAAAACCAGCAATTTTTTTACTTTACCGTTTTTAAGCCTTATTTTAAACATGAAGTATAATTCGATTTATTAAACCAAATTTTTTTGTTTCACTTTTTATTGGAAAACAATTGAAATAGAAAAATTGAATAAAAACATCAACTTAAAAACCATTTAAATGAAAAACTTAACTATATTTAAACTTTTATTAGTCCTTTATTCAAGATTACAAGATCAACAAACCTGGTGGGAAATGAGCTAGCGACTAGCCAGCGAATATCTAGCTAGTTGCTACCTATGGATAAAAGACGCATTTAAAAAGTAATATAGTTAGTTATACATGTTTTACATGCTTTAAACATATTTTTTCATTTAGCTATCTTTATCCCAACCAGGAGCGTTGTTTATCGAGACTGAAAGTTCTAAATATATCATTTGTTTTTTTATTTTGCGAAAAAAGGGCTTTCCCATCTGCTATGTCACAAGCCCTCTACATACATTTTTAATACCGGTATTGAGTCAAACCAATACCTGTATTTCGGTACTTGAAAAAGTCGGTACTACCTGTATACCGGTATCGGTACTACCGGTATACAGGTAGTGTCTACGCGCAAGAGAGCAAATGGTCATACTTATATTTAAAATTTAGCATGACATTTTATGGATAACTCTTAAAAAATGGCCTTAAAAAAAAAAAATCACAAAAATATTTTTATAAAGCAAAAACTAATTGCGAAGGTACAAAAAACAATTGCAATTTTCAATCACCATATGCTTAATTCAAGCCCTGAAAGGTTTTATTATCATCTTATATAAATAATGGGTGGTAAAGAAATAGGGAAATTTGCAAGATGTAATTTAATTGATTATACATAAAAAAAAAAATTTTTAGAATTTTTTTTACCAGAGGTTATGTTTCCAAGAGAATTATTCCAAACAAATAATAACCCGCGATTACTTGTCCCACACAAGTCTAGTGTAAACTGAAGTACACTGCTAATAATTGCTAGAAATGAGAGTCCTGCACAAATTTGGAGTTTTTCGACAATACTCACATTCCAGCATCCTAAAAAAATTTTAATGTTTTAAAAAACAGTTAAAGTGGCAGTAACACACCATTTTAGATGAAGTTAAAATGGCAGTAATACCAATTTTTGATGAAGTTAAAATGGCAGTAACACACCGTTTTTAATGATGTTAAAATTATAATTCTCAATTAATAACTTGTATTATAAAAAATTAAATAAAAATTGATATCTTTAAAGGGACAACTAAGTCCCGAGACATGTTATGTTCATATTAAAGAAAATGTTAAAAAAAACGTCTGAGCAAGATTTTTTTAATTAAAACTAACTAATAAATGTATACCAAGAAAAACAAATCTTGTTGTTTTAGTCGAAGCTGGTTTTCTCCATTTTCAGCGGTATTTTGAGTATGTAAAATAAACGCGATTTTCCAGGCGCATTATACAGACTTGATAATTTATTCAAGCGCGTTTAATTCATAGGAGTTTTAGTGCATGACGTCATAGATTTTTTGTTTGTTTGTTTAAAACACAGATTGTTATTTTTTACATTTAATTTCCAAATCATATTCATTTTTATTATATTTTAAAGTTCTAAAATGTGTTTGTAAAACAAAATTAAAAACAAAGTAAAATTAAAAATAAAATTAAAAACAAAAATAAAATAAAAAACAAAATAGTATTTTATTTGCGCAACTTTTTTTAAATAACCGTCTAGACCACGTGTATTTTGATTTCTTTTGTTATAAGTTTTTCTTTCAAAATATTAGATAAAATAATTTTTAACCTAAATAATAATGCACTTTTATTAATTTACTTTGTAAATATTAAAAAAATTATTAACACATTTTTTCTCTGATTTTCAAAAATGTATTTTTTGTTATTGAGGCGATCTTATTTCATTATTTATATTTCCATTATTATAACATCCAATATATATTATGGCGGAGGCTTAAAAATTAAAAAGTTAATATATATTAATTTTTATTTTACAAACATACATGGAAACATAATTAACTTGAATGTTCTTAAAACATCTTGCGGAAGAATAAAAAGAATATTCGCGAACACTAAAAACCCGCCAAAGTTGCGAACAAACTAATTCTATTGTTTCAAAAAATACGCTGACTAAGCGAAATAAAGTTCTAGAGTATTCTGTTGAAATGTTTTAGGAATTGTATTATACGATTTGTTGCATTTTGAGATATATAGCATAAATTTTTTTAAGAATATATTATCAAACGAACTATTACTTTAATTTTTATATCTTTTCTTAGTGCTTGGTTTAATTAATTGTTCGTTAGATTTGTAAAAAACTAATGAACAATTAATAAAATAAACTTTTAATAAAATAAGTAACTATAGTTAGCTATTTTATTATAATTTAATAGTAAAATTTTTAAAGAATTTCTAGAATGTTTCCAATGACGTCATGAATTAAACGCGCTTGAATAAATTATCAAGTCTGTATAATGCGTCTGGGAAATCGCGTTTATTTAACATACTCAAAATACCGCAGAAAATGTAGAAGACGAGCTTCGACTAAAACAACAAGATTTGTTTTTCTTGATATACATTTATCAATCAGTTTTAATCAAAAAAAACTTGCTCAGACGTTTTTTTTTCATCCTCTTTAAAGGGATCCCAAACTCCCAACACATGTTGTGTTCATATTAAGATAATGTTATATAAAAAGGTTTGAACCAAATTTTCTTGATGAAAAATAAATAATGAATGCATACCGTGAAAAACAAATGTTGTTGTTTTTGCCGAAGCTTGTCTTCTCCATTTTTTTCAACCACTCGGAGTCTTCAAATTTTGTGTCGCAATCTACAGACTTTGGTAATTCCTTTGAAGGGTATTTAATTCATAAAAGTTTTAGTATTTGACATCACGGTAGATTTTTAACAAAGGAAACTCTGGAAATATTTTTATTTATTTTTAGTCGAAGTTTTTTTGGTTATTTGTTTAGTTTTTTTTTTTTTTTTTTATACTTTTAATATTTAAAAAGATATTAAAAACCTTAATTATTTTATGCTGGTTCGTTGCTATAAATTGTTATTGCACCATATATTTAATGTTCATAAATTATGAATATTTATTCAATCAAGACTCTGATAAAAAAAAATGTTTTACATTAATTACCCGTATAAAATTATTATCTCAATTATAAGACTCTGATATATAAATGTTTTACATTAATTACCTGTATAAAATTAGTAACAACATTTTTATTTGGTTAGACGATATTTTGTCTCAATTTGCTTGGGGAACGAAAAAAATTAGTTTGAATAATCACGTTGAAATATATTTAAAACAAATTATTTAAATGACTTAAATCTTTTTATAACAAAAGTAGGTAAAAAATAAATAACTAAATAAAAAGTTCAACATTAAACATCTTTTTTTTGTTATATTGCAACTGTAATTATTAAAATATTAACTTTAACTATATTTACTTATTATTTAGAACGACTTAGCAATAAATAAAAAGCCTCTAAAATAATGTGATATTGTGTTAATTTATTCTAAGACCCTAGGAACGTATTTGTTCCTATAGTATGTAAAATATGTTAGAGTAAAAACAAAATTTTATTGTGTGACATTCAGAACTACCTGAATTTTGTGCGAGAAAGTCAGACGTCACATCGTCTATTGTTTAGTAAAATTTTCATTAGATATTTTCACAAATTACGGCACATAAATTGGAAAATACCAAATATAATGTTTTTTGATGCGCGTTGCGATATTTTAACAATTTAAATTACTATCCGCCTTGAGTTGTTGCCATTAATTAATGTGGTGATTATTGCGTTAATTAATAATAATTTGTCTGTATTTTTGTTAAATGTTAATTGTATAAAACGGGCAAAAATATACGTACTTCATGTTTTCAATTTGATGGTTATAAAGTATTGAACAGTAAACTTATTATTTAAAATTCATAATCCCGGCTTGTGCTGTTATTGCTGTTATTTATTTTTGCGCATTAGCCATAACAACATTAAAACTTTCGTATCTGATACTACTGACAACTGTATTGTTTGGTGTGTTCTTGTTCTTTTTTTTCATAACCTTAACAGGTTCTAATTGGTATGGAGTTGCCGACATTTCAAAAGTTTCATTATCAAAAATCA